TCCATCACTTTTGCGATCACCTCAAAGCCTGGTTTGCTGCACCTTATTTCCAACATGCCTCTCAACTACTCTAGATTTTGCCAAAATTCTCAGTGTTAAGTTGGGTGGCTCCGAAGAAGTAAGAGATTGTGCATGATGAGAGCTGGTGGTAAGTTGAGACACCAAATTCTTCTATCGTGGCTTGCGTTACTGGACTATCCATGGGTCGAAAATCATGTGATTCTTTACTGGATCTGGCTGCAAAGCTTGCGTGAGTTCTATCATGGCTTGAGCATTGGAATTGTTCGTAAGAGCACGTTTACCCGAATTCTTAAAATGATAAATGTCTTCTGTATGTCCAAATTCGCCACAATGGAAGCAGATCTTACAGAGGCCCTCATATTCTACCAGAATTAAGGACTATGGTAGCTCTTCTAGGTCTAAGGCCACTGAGGAGGGCAGTTGTTGGCTAAGGTCAACTTCGACACAAACACAAGCAAACTTTTCTCTAGTACCCAAGAGAGTTATGCTGTCTACCTTTATTGGCTTTCCCAATTTGCTGCCAAGGTACAAGACTATGGCTTCATGGAAACACATTGATGGCACTCCATGTAACTTCACCCAAACCGTTGTTTTTGGAGCTTTTGCCCTAGCAAGATGAAAACTAGGATCCCATGGCTGAACAGCAAGATAATGATCAAAGAATTTGTAAGGCCCACCTGTTAAAACCATTGAACAATCCTCCGGGGTTGCAAATTGCACAATGAAATAACCCAAACCAACATCAATAACCTTAAACTCGTGCTCCATTTTCCATTCCTTGAGGAGTCGCGCATGAAGGATATATTGAAATTAATAGACTTACCCAAGAGTTTAATGATGATAGCATTCTTCCACGGCGTGCATAGGCATTGCCATATAGCCTTAGGAATTTTGACCTTTGGAACTTTCGCCCTGGTTGGATCTGATAGATCCTCAATCATTGGAGAATCTTGGGCAAGGTTTGCTGCTTCTAATTCCTCATATGTTACTAGGGGTGGAGTGTTGAGAGCCGAGCCATCAATAAAGGTATCACGGAATGATTTAGGCGGTTTAGGGTGAGCTACAGATTGGTTTTGAGTTGCGATAGAAAAAGGCTGATTAGGAGAGGCCGTAACAACCGACTACGACTCCCCAGGGATGACAGCAAGTCTGTCAAGAAGAGGAGGTGAAGATGGTGGCGGTAAGTAGGAAGCTGATTATGGTGGGTAAGGGGGATGAGGGGGATGAAGGGGAGAGGGTTTCGTCATGCTTCTTTTTTCTTTGTAAGATAATTAAAACCCTTATTCTTATAGCAATTTGGCCCTTATTCGTATGGTGGTTAAAGGATTAACTACTAAATTGCTCAAATTGTGGAGTTTAGGGGCTTATATGCATCAATTAAAGTTTAGGGGTTCAATAATAAATTTGGGATTAGTTCAAGGGCTTAATAATATGGTTTTGCCTAAATCCTATCTGGCAGGCACGTCCACCAATCTTTCATTGAAGAGTATGTTTCTCCCAACCATGGCTTTTATTACAGAAATTACATGTTTGTAGCTTCATCTTCCAAACAAATAAATAAATTTAGAAACATTTTTGAAAAATATGCCTTAAGTTAAGTTCAACTTTTAAAGTTTTTCTAACATATTTATTTAGAGTACATGTTAACAATATAATTTATGCATTTTTTAGTTATTAAATTATTTAAAAAATAAATTTTAATTTTAATTTTAATAATTAATAAATTAAATTAATATACTTAGTATTAATGTTAAAATCAATATCACTTTTTTATTTTTTATATAAATTAATGATAAAAAAATATATTCTTAACTTACATTCTTAAAAAAATCTCAACTTTTATAGTGAAAATGATTTTAGTGTAAAAGTAAAGAAAGTGACAATAAAGATGATTGTAACATATAAGGAGTGATTTATCTGTCCTTTCATAAAGGCCTTCTAGAGACCAACGAATGGTTGGATCAAGTGGTAAACG